TGTCTGGGCTGAGGATGTATTAACTACTGATGATTACTGACATCATTTACTTTATGTTTTCACTTGTTTCTTTTTTTTAGTTTTTGCTATAGGGCACATGCACTCACTAAAGAGAGAGAAGGAAAGCAAGAAATCACTCCCCAGTAGGATGGCCACGCAGCAGTCCTTTCACCTTCATTCTCCTCTCGGGATTTTGGGCATGTATGCACATGAGCTGGTATGTTGTTCAAGCCACTAGGTCTGGGACTTGAACTGTAGAGTCAGCCAAGTGGGATCCAGCCACCTTAACCACTATGCAACTTGGCTGGGTCTGGACATCATTTTAAACACTACCCAGTTTATCAAAAACCATGTTTACAGGACTGGCCCCACAGCACAGCAGTTAAGGGAGCCAGTCCCACAAAGTCATCCACAGTTAGCAATCCCAGTTTACCAGTCAGGAAATCAAGGCACGCAGATAACTAAATTTATTTATTTAGAGAGAGATCTTTGCAATACTGGCTTACTGAGAGGCTGAGGCGAGGATCACAATGGCATAATCTGGTAAAAAATACCTTTCTCCCTCCTGCTCTTTCTCCTTATTTAAAACAAACAAACAAAAGTGAATACAATTTTTTCTTTTTTTTAAGAGAAGTTTTTGCTATAGGGTGCATGTGCTTGCCAGAAAGACAGAGATAGAGAGACAGAAAGTGAGAAAGCACCCCCAGGGGGAATGGCCACACCACAATCCCTTCTCCTCCATTCTCTCGGGATCTAAGGCATGCATGCACATGCACCCGGCGTGAGTTTAAGCCACCGAGTCTGGGAACTGAACCACGGTTGACTACATGGTAGTCCAGCGACATAGCCATTATGCCAATTGCTGTTCCCATACGTGGTTACAATATTTTGACAGTGGTCCCATGGCCTGGTGAACCACAGGACCAATCACACAATTTGAACCCTGGTCCCAATGGCCTGTACAACACCTCTGAGCATGTATGTGTGTGTCCAGAGTTCCAGCAGGGTAAAGAAATGGAGGAGAAACTGTGGTGTGACCAAGTCCCATTGGGGAAGGTACTTTCTCCTCTCTGTCTCTCTCTCTCCCCCCCCCTCCCTCCCTCCCTGGTGAGTGCATACACCCTCTGGCAAAACAATTTTTCAAATAACATATAAATAAATAAAATAATGAATAAAAATAACTTTGAAGCATTAAATGATAAAGCATTATGACACTGTTACATTCAGATAAAGTAAGCATATTTCAATTTTTTGACCAAATAAAATAAGAGCTTATGCTTTATCACAAGTACTTCCAAATGGTTACATCAAAAGCTGCAGGAATCAGCAGCTTTTGTCTATAAAGGGCTGCAACATAATTATGGGAGACTCTGCAGCGAGACGGCCCTGTGGGAATTACCCAGCCCTGACACGGGAGCCAGAAAGCAGTCTGGACAGGGCAGCAAGGGACGGCAGGACGTGAAGGGACCCACACGGCTGTGTTCCTGCAAAACCGCTCCGACAGAAATGGCAGTGGGCTGCCACCCACGATCAAGATGCCATTCTAAGTAGATCGTAGCATAATGTGTATCTCCAAATTGCCAAGAGAGTATATTTTAAACGTATGCATTACAAAGAAAGGACGTGAGGTGATGCACATGTTAATCAGCTTTAGTCACGCCCCGACGTATACTGGGTTGTCGGCAAAGTCAAGGCGCGTTCTTGCACAGAAAAATACCGCGGCTTTCCCAACGACCTAATGTGTGTGTGTGTAGAAGCATCACATGGTATCCTATAAATAGATAAGTATTATTCTAATTTAACATAAGCTGGGGCCAGCAAGTAGCATGGTGGTTAAGCCGCTGGATCCCACATGGCTGACTGCGTGGTTCAAGTCCTGGATCCGGTGGCTTAAAAATCCCACCAGTGTGTGTGCGTGTGTGCTCAAAATCCTGAGGACAGAAGGAAAAGGGATTGTGACGTGGTGATTTCTCATTTTCCCTCTCGCTGTCTCTGTGTCTCTCTGTGCGTGCACGTGCCCTATTTAGCAAAAGAATTTTTAAATAATAATAATAAGTTAAAAAGTAATGTCATTATAATGTAGCTAACAAGTCCAAATATATATGTTAACCCTTAAAAGCATTGGTTTAGGGGCCAGCAGGTGGCATGGTGGTTAAAGTGCTGGATCCCAACAAGGCCAACTGCCTGGTTCAAGTCCTGGACTTGGCAGCTTGTTAAACATGCCCAAAATCCCAAGAGAAGAATGGAGGAGAGGGGACTGAGGCATGGCCATCTCCTCGGTATGTGATTTCTCACCCACTCCCCTATCTCTGTCCAGTGAGGGTACACACCCTCTACAAAGAAAAACTAAAAAAGAAAAGCACAGGTTTAGGGGGCCAGGCAGTGGCACAGTGATAAAATACAATGATCTGTAGGCCATTAGGTAGCATGGAGATTAAGGTGTTAGGTCCCACAAGGTCAGCTTCTTGGTTAGAGTCCTGGACCCAGTGGCTTGAAAATCGTGCTGGATATGGGGGGAGGGGTAGGAGGGGGGCGGCATGTCCAAATCCCAAGAGGAAAGTAAAGAAGGGATTGCTAAGTGGCCGTCCCCCTCGGGGGTGATTTCACACTTTCCCTCTCTCAAGCAGGCACAAACATCCTATAGCAAAAACTACAAACAAAAAACAAACAATGCTTTGTGAGAAAAACCCATGAGGAAAGGTTGCCAATTTGCATCCAGAGACCTCCCTGGGTCCACTGGGCATATATATGTGCCGTGTGGGCTGGAGCTGGAAGTGGATCCCGTACTAGGCCCCAGTCAACAGTGTGCATCTGTCTCTGTCTCTCCTTCTCATTCATGGAATAAATGAATGAACTTAAAAGGGGTGGTGGTGGCAGGTGGTGTGGTGGTTAAGGCACTGGACACCCATGTGGCTGACCGTGGTTCGAGTCCCAGACCTGGCAGGTTTCTTTCTCTCTCTCTCTTGCTCTCTTGCCCTGTCCCTCTCTGGTCAAATTATAATAAATAATACATAAATAAAGTTAAATAAAATCATTCTTAAAAAAAAGTGTGTGTGGAGGGGTGGCGTCAGGGTTTAGGAATTTAACTCCATGGGCAATTGGTTAAATTTCCTTATGGTACATAAGAAATGACCAATGTTGGTCAGAGTGCCTAAGTCCCCTGAATAATGCTGTCCATCGGTACTGCTCGATAAATACCCAGTGAGCTGAAACGCCTCCTCCTACCAGCGATGGGAGAGGCAGGTCCTGCAAAACTATCATCACATATGGACAGACATTTCTTTTCTTTTTTTTTTAGGGAGGTTTTTGCTATAGGACATATGTGTTTGCCCGAAAGACAGACAGACAGGAAGTGAGAAATCACCCCCCGGTTGGATGGTCACTTAGCAGTCCCTTCTCCTCCATTCTCCTCTCAGGATCTTGGGCATGCATGCACACGCGCCTGGCGTAAGTTTAAGCCACTGGCTCTGGGATTCAAACCACAGTCGACTACATGGGAGTCCAGCGACATAGCCATTACACCAACTGCTGGTCCTGGTCAGACATTTCTAACACAGTCAAGCAAGCAATATAAATAAAGAAAAAGAGCCAGTGATGGAAAACTACTCCACCCTAAGCTTTCAGGTTTAAAATCTAAATTGTATGCTATGTCAGTAGCAAGACTCTAGTTTACTTACTTACCTACTTATTTATTTATTTATAATTGCCAGAGGACGTGCACACTTGCTAGAGAAAGAGACAGAGAGGGAGAGGGAGAAAACATCCCCTCGTGGGGCGTGGTCACACTACAATCCCTTCTCCTCCATTTCTTCATCCTGTTGGAATTCGGGGTGTACACACATATGTATCCAGCATGTTTTTCATGCTGCCAGCACCAAGATTTGAACCACAGTCGGCCATGTGCGATCCAGCTCCCTTAGCCACTCAGTAACGAGGTCAACCACAGAAGACTCAGGTTGCAATTGGTCATCAGCAACACCATAACTATAGAAGTCACCATCGGCACCAAAACCAAACCTTGTGGTACTATTACTTCAACTTCTCACAGATCTTTGCATGTCTATGATGAACTCTTACAATAATCCCACAAATATATCTTTACAGAGTTGCATCAAACACGATCCCTAAATCCTGTAGGATTTTACATAAATATCACAGTTCTCTGGTCCTAATGAAGTCAACACATATTTAAATCGAATTTCCAGTATGCATTTTTAAAAGCTCTATAAGAAAAAATGGCATCTGGCAAACTAAAATCGAAAATGAAAGAACAACTGGAGAATGTCAGGCACTTTCAATGGCTGATTGTCACTTCTTCTGTTTCCTTTAGTAAATACCAAGGGGCAGAAAAATGGGCCAAAGCAGGTGTGCATGAGGCAACCTTTTCTAAACCTTTTAGTCTGGACTTAAAAGTCTCTGCTTTGTGATCAGAAGGCATTATCAATAGAACTCTGCAAGCTAAGACTTTCTCTAGAACAGCCAAAGTTGTAGACATCATGTGGGTGGCTAGACCGCATCAAAGATCAATAAAATACTGGTTGCTTTTCTTTTCTTTTTTAAATTTTGCTTTAGGGTGTGTACACTTACTGGCGAGAGAGAGAGAGAGAAAGCAACCCCCAAGAGAAATGGCCATGCTGCAATCCTCCTCCATTTTCTTGGGATTTGGGGCACACATGCACACACACCTAGTGTGCTTCTCAAGCCACCGGGTCCAGACTCTGACCTGCGCCATCAGCCACGTGGGAGCCAAGCCCCCTTACCCTTCCACACAGCAGCTGGCCCTTGGCTGCATCTCGACCTCGTGAAATACTGGGGAAAGTATTTAGCCCATTGCACGGCCTAAGCCAAGTGACCACAAGGTCCAAAAGCTCATTCTGAAACAATGCAAATGACAGAGAGTGCCCGTTCAGACTTTTAGATAATAAAAGTCATCTTCGACTAGGCTGAAAGGAGGACGGCATCACGTCACAGAAACGTCCAAACGAACCAGCAAAGGATACAAAAATGTAGTCGTCCATGTATCTCTTCTTCAGATTCTCCACGATGGAGTTCTCTGTGATCTTTGAGAGCAGCACCATGTCGTCCACGCCGCTGTGCTTGACGTTGTGGCTCTGCCAGTGGTACCGGTAGGCACCTTTGCTTCCCTGGGGACAGGAGAGACACGCGGTTAGGAAAGCTTATTTTCACCCGGAGAAAACAACAATGGACAATAACAAAACGCTGCGGTTTCCCAAGTATTATTCAAATAAGAAACAGCGGAACAAGCAAACCATCCGGGACGATTTCACTACCAAGGAGACATGGCTGTGAGTTCCAGCTTTGTCACCCAGACTAAGTGAAGTGGGCAAAAGGAAAAGGGTACTTTGTCACTAAAACATCCTGTGTGTCATTTGCCAAATGGGATAAGAAGACCCGCATCATAGACCTGCTGGAAGGATTAAATAAAGTAAGAAATGGCAAAGTCCCAGACAATGTCTGGAACGCACACAGTAAGGACCACAATGGACCCTGATAACTCCAACTTCATTGTTGTACCGAATTTGTCAGTGAAAATAAACAATGAAATGGAAAATTTCTGAATTCGTTTTGCAAGTTATACAACAGGACTCAGAAACAGAAAGAAAGTGTATCCCACAATGGCTAAGCCACACTGTCATGATTTCTCAAGCCATCTACATAATTTTCCCTCCATAAACCTTTCACTGTCCATGCAAGATCGGCCTTCCCCATTGAGTGGGTAAGCTACATCTGGGCGGCTGAGACTGTACACTGAGGAAGTGGGCAGCTCAGACTGAGGGTGCTCACAGACAGGCTCTCCACCCTACGACCCACCGGTCTCATGGTGCCCAGGTGGATGAAGCCTCGGCCCTCATCTGTTTACAGGGTTTCAGGTTAACACCAGCCATGGCTCTGAACACTCTGTGGATGGCAGGCTTCCTTTTACTTGACATTCCCTTTCTCCCTCCGTCCTTCTCTCTCTCTCCTTCCTCTGTCTGTCTCTCTCTCTCTCTCTTTTTCTCTTTAATTTTGCCAAAGGGTGCATATGCTCACGAGAGAGGGAGGCAGAGAGAGGGAGAAGGAGAAACCATTCCTCTTGGGGATGATCACGTGGCAACCCCTTCTCCTTCATCTCGCCATCCTCTCAGGATCCGGGGTATGGAAGTACACACACCTGACATGTTTCTCAAGATACCAGGTCCCGGAAGTAAACTGTGTGGTTGGCCATGCGGGATTCCAGTGCCTTAACCACCAGGTCATAGAGCAGGCCCTATTTGGCATTTCTACAGTGGAATCCCCATGTGTTCAGAAATAGGTCAGGGCCTGGGAGCACCCACATGGCGGAATTTGGGGAGCTCAGAACCCACTGAAGGACATGTAGATGAGGATGAGCCAAAGTGATGCGTGTCAATGCATAAATACATACAAAACGCATGACTTCCTGGATCAGGGCAATTTGAAGGAGATTTCAAATATTTTGCATTTGCCAGAGGAAACCAGAGAAGTTAAGAAATCCATTATAATCTCCACCACAGGGGCAAAATGGCTAATATGTATGAAATCACAGCAAATATTGAGACTGTTCCTTCTACACCTCAGGCACCCTCCTGGGAGGTCACGCGCTGGGTGGGAGATGAGCGTGAACTCAGAGGACCGACTCTACCTCTTCCTGGAAGTTCATTTCTCGGCGGAGTTTGGACAAAGGAGAGAAAAATCAAGCGAGGGTACAGAGAAAGGCCAACTGCTCAGACAAGGATGAGAAAAGGGAATAGGAGACTCTGAGAGAAGGGGAGGCAGAAAGAAATGGGATAGGAGCCATATTACATTTCATGTAAAATTTTCTTAAGTTGTTAAACGTTTCCTCCGTGGGACACGCAGGTCTTTTGGTAAAAGCACATTCTCAGAGACCCCGGAGCCAGCATGGGGAAGTACCCATGCCATGGGCAGGAGCTCTGCAAGGGCTCTGAAAGGGTGGCCACCCAGGCCGCCTTGCAGAGGGAAATGGCTCGATGATATATTTGGCTTTCTCAGAACCACATGCAGCATCAGTTCTACAAAATTACCTCAGACCTCACCACTCCTTCTTCCTCTCATGGCAAAGCAGGAAAAAAGAAAAGGCACCGGCCACAGCATGACTCACTGGAGTCCATCAGGCCCAAGGTCTACTGCAGACGCACACAGACTCCTGGCACTCCTCGCCCCTCACCCCCTCCCCTCCAGCTTTCTGGGCACCCACAAAAGTGGCCCTGCATAGAAACCCAAGGTCCCGAGTCACCTCCTGTGGCTTCTTTACGTATGGGTTGGTTTTAAACCCCAACAAATATCTACCTATACAAAACAATGTTACTTTTCCTTTGAAAAACATGTATGCACATGGGCCAGTCAGGTGGCATGGTGGTGAAGTCGCTGGACCCCTCCTGGCTGACTGTACAGTCTCAGAGGCTGAGTCTCAGAGGCTGAAAACCATGCTGGGCACAGGTGTGTACATGCCCAAAATCCCGAGAGGGGACTGGAAAGAAGGGACTGCAGTGTGGTCTTCCCTCTGGGGTGTGCTCCCCGCTTCCCCGGCCACCAGCATACATGGACAATAGCCAAAAAAGGAAAGTATGCCCAGGCAAATAAAACAGAAGGCTATCAGACAAGTGGCTGTTTCACGTCTACGAAGCACAAGCAACAGACGAGCTCTGAATCGTAGCGCGTGTGTCGGTGCGATCCACAGACGCTGCCTCCCCAAGGTCGCCCCGGTCAGTCTTGGTGTCCAGTCCGACTGCCCTCTCTGCCTCGCTCGATGTGGGACATTCCTGTCTGTCTGAGAGTCCGTCTTCTCCCGCTTCTAATGGCAGTTATGTTTTGGACTGCCTTGTCCTGAATATCACTTGAAACTGAGGATTCTCATCCCCGGGTCTCTCTTCTTATCTTTCCATCTTCCAGCTAGCAAGATCAGGAACCGAACATGAGTCAGGTGTCAACACATAAAACAATGAGCTATTCGATTCGTGGAGGTCTTTCCATTCACTTTTCCAAACAGCCTGTGGGAGAACGGGTTAACATTCTCCTGTTACATAGAAGGAAATGGATCTCGCAGCCAGTAAGTAGCAAGGTAAGCTGCAAACCCAAGACTCAGAGATTACAGACTCATCCACACGAGGTCCCTTCCCATCATCTCCCCTTTGCTTACTGGGTGCTTCTGCCTGTTAGGGCAGGGGGCTGGATGGCACTGCGGAAGTAAAACTCGATGCTCTGTGAGGCTGACCGGCTTGAGAAGGTTCTGAGTTCACGCCCAGAGACCCCCCCTGAGTATGACAGGTGCATGTGTGCTTGTGATCTGGGGTTGGTGGAGGCTGGGAGTGGATTGCGGCATCAAGATCACGTTGGTGACAGGACCAGCAGTTAGCGTAATGGATATGTTGCTGGACTCCCATGTAGTCGACAGCGGTTCGAGTCCCAGACTCGGTGGTTTAAACTCACTCTGGGTGTGCATGCGTGCCCAACATCCTGAGAGGAGAATGGAGGAGAAGGGATTGAGGCGTGGCCATCCCCCTGGGGGATGATTTCTCACTTTCTGTCTCTGTCTCTGTCTGTCTGGCGAGCCCACGCACCCTATAGCAAAAACCTCTCCAAAAAAAGAAAAGAAAAAAAAAAAAAGATCACATTGGTGCTAACCTGTCTCTGTCTCATTCAGAGGATAAATATTAAATAAAGGGACATGAAGATGGCAGCAGAACGATAGTCTCCAAAACTGAATTCACAATAAAAAAGACACACAAGCTCTGTTAACGACCACCTCGCTCTGCAGCAAAGACTAAAAAGGTGATCGATTTGATGTGTTTTCTGAATCCACGTGGTCATAAACGTCCTTCCCTCTCGCTCTGTCTTCTTCTCCCAGGAAATTATAATTATATATATGAACTCACTCAACCTGCAAAACCGTTCTCCATACTGTGTATTTTACCTTGATTTTACTGGTTTAAAACAGGAAAATGCCCAAGGTCTTCCATTATCATTCTTACCGTTATTGACAACTCTTTGCTATGCCTTACTTTTTCACACTACCTGCCCCCGCAAAAACTAAACAAAACAAAACAAAACGAAAAAGAACCCACAACTCAGATGCGCTAAGGGGTGGGAGGAAAGGCAGCCGGGAAGAGTGGGAGCCACTCGGAGCCTTCGGGGAGGGCTGACTTCCAGATCACCAAGGACAAGGTCAGACCCGCTGCAGTGAAAGTCGGGCTGCGGCTGGCCAGGCAGCTCTAGCAGAGGTGACGACGTTATCAGAGAAGCTGGAAACCAAACATGGGTGTGAGGGTTCCCGTCCCAGCCCAGGGGAGCTGAAGACCCCACAGGGAAACAGTACGGCCGGCCTCTGTTTTTGTGTACAGGATAGAGCTGGGCAAGAGTGCGATTTTTCCAGAGGCCTTCCTTGCCTTCCAGAGCCAGTGAGAGGGGCTGGGGGGTAGGTAAACTGACATCAAGGTGGGCAACAGCTTCCATCTGCACCCTCAGGAGGCCTGGGGAGCAGAGGCTGCAAGTTGCCTTCGGACCACCACCCGGAAGCGGGAGCAGTAACACGTGTGTGGTTCCGGAACAGTAACCCTGGACGCCTGTTCTCTGAGAGCTTCTTTCTCCTACTCTTGACTGAGAGGGGTGGGGTCGGCTGTGTGAGGGTGGCCACGTGTGTCAGGTTCTCACCTCGGCAGGACGCTTCTCTTTGCAGGCTTCTTTGATGAGCAACTAATTTTTGTTCCTCCCACTAAAGAAGGCACCTTTTTTTGGTGAGATTTTTGCTATAGGGTGCGTGGGCTTTCTGGAGAGACAGAGAAAGCAAGAAATCACCCTCCGGAGGGGATGCCCAGGCCGTAATCCCTTCTCCTTCATTCTCCTCTTGGGATTTTGGGCATGTGCTCACACGTGCTCGGAGTGAGTTTCAAACTGCTGGGTCCAGGATTTGAACTACAGCTGACCACGTGGGAGTCCAGCACCTCAGCCACTACATCACCTGCTGGCCCCAAGAAGGCAACCTTTTAAATAGGTGAGGGGCCACTGTACAACCGTGATAGGATATTGTTACTATGAAGACAGTAACAGTAATCCTAAATTCCCCTTGGCCCTGACAGTTACTACAAATTAGGAGGGAGAAGTTTCCCAC